GACGAATAGACTATGGGGTAGACATTATAAAGTTTAGGTACTAGATAGATATTGACATTTTGAAGTTTAGCAACTATTTGTGACTTGTGAGCACGACTATCTGTTTATAAAAATTGTGCACCAATGTGTTAAGAGATTGAAGTTAAATAACATCTTAAGCTTTTAGTTGTAGAAGTACAATTTGGAAGAGAAGATATGGGATAGCTTTAAGCTTGATTAAGATGGGGAGATCTTAAGGTTGAGAGTTCAGGAAGACTCTGTCTTGCTGCTTAAACTGCTCGTGAACAATTTGTGATCACGAACAACTTGCACCGAGTTGCCAAGTTAAAGACAGATCCGGGTAGTGAAGGTATGAAGGAAGAAATACTTTTACAATCGAAATATGAACAGAAAATTGTGTTTAGTAAGTCACACACATTGTTACTGTTTGAATTTATAGGTTCCTAGAAGGTTTCTTTTTTTAAAACTTCAATAAGTACAAATGTTTCCAAGTCTTAGTGAAGAAATGTGCAAAATAGAACTTTAAATTCTACAGAAGGTCGTAATTAATGTTAGTGCATAATGTGGATTAGCTCGGTGTTAACTTCTACGAATTTTAGAGCAGAAAATTACAGTAAGCAACAACTCCAATTATGTCCAATAATTGGCTTTGCCCTTCTGTTTCACATAGGCGAGGTTTCTTCTGTAGCTTTTTATTGTTCACTTTACATTCATACTTCTATAGACATGAAAAAAATCAAAAATGTTGACTTGACAATTAAGTGCTGACACTGTTGTAAATTAGTCGTGGTCAATTTTTCTTGACAATATTTGAAGTTGGACTAAATTCGAGGCTGACAATTTTTTGCATTTCCAAATTTGTCAGACTACATAAACGAACTGGTTGAGGCTGACAGAAAAGGGGGAAAGTTCATTTGTACTGGAACATTCTTAAATCCCGGATCGTGGGATGCTGCACTTCTTGCTGCTGGTACCACGTTATCAGCAATGCAATATATCCTTGATGGGTGCGGAAAAATTGCTTATGCATTGGTTAGGCCACCAGGTCATCATGCTCAGCCTACTCAAGCAGACGGTTACTGCTTTCTCAATAATGCAGGTCTTGCTGTACAGCTGGGGCTCAATTCTAGGTTTAAGAAAGTTTCAGTTATCGACATTGATGTCCATTATGGGAATGGAACTGCAGAAGGTTTCTATTGCTCTGATAGGGTTCTTACTATCTCCCTTCATATGAATCATGGTTCGTGGGGTCCTTCTCATCCACAGAAGGGAAGTATAGACGAGCTAGGTGAAGGGGATGGCTTTGGATATAATTTGAATATACCTTTGCCAAATGGAACTGGAGATAGAGGGTATGCGTATGCTATGGCCAAGTTAGTTGTTCCATCAGTAGAGAAGTTTGAACGAGACATGATTGTTTTGGTTGTTGGTCAAGACTCCAGTGCAGTAAGTTGAATGCTTTATGAAGCTAATTGAACCATATACTGCCTTGTTTAATATGCATAAGGAATATTAGGCTTAAAGAGGCAAATTCATAATACACAGGTAGGTAAGTTGGTGCATTTAGCCCAAAGAAAAAATAAGAATGCAAGCTGGTACTTGAAGAGATTCTTTTGGGAGGTGGAGAGGCAGCTTTGTTCTGTATTAATTTAATTTGAGATTCCTATATGACCTCTCTCAGATATCTTTATATTTCCTCACATGTTACTCATATTAGAGAAAGAACTCTGTAATTTATTTGAATTTAATCTTCGACCTGCCACCTCATGTGTATGTTGATTCATTTTTATCGATGGCTTTATGCGTGGACAAGTATTAGAAATGGGTGGCAGCAAGAGTTAGACCCGAGTCTTTTTCTTTGCTCTAATACCATATTAAACTACATCATCTAACAACAAAAATATGTCCCTCTTTAATAGCTTAAACTTTTAGACGATGTGGTATTAGAGCATAAAGAGGTCCGGTGTTCAAATCTCGTTATTAGTCATTTGTAAAATTTGTACGTGTCTGATCTTATATAAAGTGTTCACTCTCTTACAGCTTAAACCGTCAGGTGATGTGGTTCAAAAATTCGAAAAACAGTTCAATATGCAAGGGAGAAATGGTTTATTTATTTCAGGCACTTTATAAGAAAGAAATGCCACGTCATTTTTCTATTTTGTAGCATCTTATATCTTAATTCCTTGTTTCAGTTTGATCCAAATGGAAGGCAATGCTTGACAATGGAAGGATATAGGAAGATCGGACGTAAAGTTCGCGAAATGGCTGACAAGTATTGCGATGGATGTATCTTGATCGTCCAAGAAGGTGGATATCATGTTACATATTCAGCTTATTGTTTGCATGCTACTCTTGAGGGCGTGCTTAATAATCCAGATCCATTAGTATCTGATCCTATTGCCTATTACCCGGAAGATGAGGCCTTCACAACAGAAGTTGTCGAATCCATAAAGAGATATCAAATGGATAAGGTGCCCTTTTTAAAATAGTCTATGACATTATGCTTAGTTGTTGCTATCTTGAGATTGTAGCTGTAATATAATGTATTCATGTAGATTCTTTATATTCTATAATGCTTTTCGAGATTGTATAATATAACTTGGAATTGTTGGCCAACCTTCTTTCACTTTTACTTCATTAGGCATGCCAGTCCCTAGGATTCTGCAATGTTGGCTGTTTATTCATTTATGAGATAAAAGTCAGTTTAGGCGGGATGCAATTCAGTCTGCCTAGCAGTTCTTCAAGGCTTGGGAAAAGAACCTTAATGGTTATCTTTTGCCTTTTAAGTAGTCTAAAACAGCCAAGAAAGACACTACTCATAACTATTTGCCCATCTGTCCACCTACCATTTCTCCGAGGCTTGAAAAAAGAACTTGACCAGTTGTCTTTTGCATTCTAAGTAGTGAAACGCAGCCTAGAAATATGCTACTCAACACCATTTGCCTTTCAGTGCGACTAGCCTTTCTCCAAGACTTGGGAAAAGAACTTGACTAGTTGTCTTTTGCCTTCTAAGGAGTCAAACGCAGCCTAGAAAGATGCTTACTCAACAACATTTTCTTTTCAGTCCAACTCGCATTTCTTTAAGGCTTGGGAAAATACCTTCACTTGTTATCTTTTGCCTTTTAAGGAGTCAATGCACCCTAGAAAGATGCTATTCAACACCATTGCCCTTTCAGTCCGACTAGCATTTCTCTGAGGCTTGGGAAAAGAACTTCACCCGTTGTCTTTTGCCTTTTAAGGAGTCAAATGCAGCCTAGAAAGATGCTAGTCAACACTATTTGACACTAAAAGAGAAAGTAATGGTTACTTGCCTGCTGCCCATCAATCATACCGGGATGATATGTTGTATTTATCTTGCATTTTGGACATAGAGCACAAGTGCATTTGTTGAGTATGCTGCAGATATTGATTCATTCAATTATATATTTTGTTAAGGTTATTAACCAGGTAGTTGTGTCCATATGTTGTAAACTCATTATTTGTTGTGACTTCCGATGCATGTAAAAATGTGGTGTTTTGGTGCTTTTTGGATCTTTCTTTTATTTGTTCCTTATATCCAAAGTGCTACTGAATGATAATTTCTTAAATATACTAAATGCACCCTTTCATCGAGAAAGCCTGTATGGTTGACCAGGGATCAGGAGTGACTCTAGCTTCTTGTAAATGAGTTACAGTTTGCAATACGAAAGTTGATTTCTGGATCAAGTATTTACCGTGTATAAATCACGTTGAGAAATAACAACAAATAAAAGCTTATTTCCAAGTTTAGGTTATGCTATATGATTCATTCTTTGTCATTGTGCTTGGTTTAATGCTAGATCTACTTAGATATCCAGAGCAACTAGGTATGAAGTGCATGGGAGTTGAAATCTAAGGATCAATGTCACTTGATATAGACTAGAACAAAGAGGCATTTCACAGTTGCGGGGCCCTCATGAGTAGAGAT